CTACGGCTCAGTGCAGGGCACCATCTACGACTACGGGGCCCTGACCATCGACGGGGACGAGTATGTCCCCTTTAGGAAGTACGCGGGGAAGATGGTGCTCTTTGTCAACGTGGCCACGTACTGAGGCCTCACCCTGCAGTACCTCGGTAAGGGTCCCGCAGGGGACAGGCACCCCGGGGGACAAGGCAGACAGCCAGAAGCAGGCGGCATCACCCAGGTCCCCAGAGTCCATCCTGCCCTGGGGAGCTGGGGGAAGGGGCAACGCCGGCTCCCCAGTACCCAGCACGGCCAGGGATGCTCCGAGGGGGTCAGTGCAGGTACGGGGGTAGGCCCGGTCCCCTGCTTAACCCATCCCTGGCTCTGCTTGCATGCAGAACTGAATGCACTACAAAATGAGCTGGGACCCTACGGGCTCGTCGTCCTGGGCTTCCCCTCCAACCAATTTGGGAAGCAGGAACCCGGCCAGAACTCGGAGATCCTCCCTGCGCTGAAGTGAGTACTGCAGCAGGGGCTGCGGGGCGCCTGTCCCCCCCGGCTGGGCTGGGGGCCCCAGCCACGCACTGGGTGGAGAGGCTGGCGGCACTGCCGGGCCGGGACAGGGCTTGGGGTTCCCCCACTACCCCTGCGCAGCACCAAGAGCTGCCCCTTGCATGTCGCTCTGCCCACCCTCCCCTTACAGGTACGTCCGGCCAGGGGGTGGCTTTGTCCCCAACTTCCAGCTCTTCCAGAAAGGGGATGTGAATGGGGCCAAGGAGCAGAAGTTCTACACCTTCCTGAAGGTGGGTGCCATTGTGGCAGAATGGGGGGAAGGAAGCACCCAGCTTGCTTTTTGGGGGAGTGGGGGGCAAGGCAGTAATGTGCTGGCCCCCTTTACAGAACGCCTGTCCCCCGGTGGCGGAAGAGTTTGGGAACCCCAAGAACCTCTTCTGGGAGCCCCTGCGGAACCACGACATCAAGTGGAACTTTGAGAAGTTCCTGGTGGGCCCCGACGGTGTGCCCGTCATGCGCTGGTACCACCGCGCCAACATCGCCGTTGTGAAGAACGACATCATTGCCTACATGAGACAGCAGCAGCAGCAGCAGGGCCAGTAGAGGCTGTCCTCTCCCAGG